TCAAGTGTTTTAAAGCTAGAGGTGAACCATTTCTACAGGTGAGAAATAAAATTTATGCATTCCTGGGCATTCTGGCTCTCTGCTCACACCAAGGCAGCCCTCTCCCTGAAGATCTAACTGGATGTCTAAGCCACATGCCAAGGCTTTTGCTCAGGGACTGTATCAGCAAAAATCTGTCTCAGAAGTTACTTTGGGCAAATACTGTCCAGGATTTGTTTAGGAGTCTTGTTTTCTGCCCCTTTGGGAAGGTCATGCACGTGAAGGGCACGGACAGAGTCAGGATAAATGATATTAAGTGGGGGTAGTAGGCATGGAAACTTTCCCTTTGGGTGCATCTTGATCTCTGACCTAATAACCTTCTGTATCATGTGCAGACACTCACCAAAGAAGCTCTGATTATTTTTGCATGCTTAAAACCAACTTTACTATCCCTAACTGTGTGGATTTTGGGATCTGTGCCCTGTGTACAGTAGCTAAGCTGTAAACAACATGAGAGCTTGCTCCATTGTTCCTGATGGGATATCATCCAAGGGAAAACAGGGATTGTCTTCAACAATTTGAAGCTTATGTAGGCAGACAATACATTGTTTTTGCCTGTGGGCAGCATGAACATGCCTCTACTTCAGCCCAAGAAAGCAGCTGAGAGGGACATGAATTCAAACCAAGAGGATGGGGCAGGCCCTGGGCAGCTGGGAATGCTGAGGGGTAAAAAAGACTAATATAAGGGAAGAATTTCTCCCTAAGCAGTAAAGAATTTTTTTTTCTAAAGAACTTAACAGGCATTCTTGGGAAGAAGCCTGCTAAAAGCATCACCTTACTCAGGCTGAGCTTTCCATCAAGTGACTGTGGAGGTATTAAGCATTGGTCCTTTTGGGTCTGGATTGAAGGCACTTGAGAGAGTAATTTGTGTTTGGACTCAAGTGTTTATTATTTCTTTTTAGTAAAACAGTTTCACTACTGTGAGTTCAGCAGCTTTTTATTAGAAGGCACAAAATGGCTAACAATTTTTTGTTACAAGGTATTTTAAGACTGAACTGTCTAATTAAGAACTGACACTTAGATTATTTTCCCTTCTAACCCAATAACTGATCCCACAGAGCCCACACTGGGGCTTTTCTGCCCAATTACAAAATGCCACCCAAACCCATGAAGAAGAAGGAAGAAGCATGAAGAAGCAGCCCAGGATGACACCCTGTGTCCTCCATCTTGCTTCCATCCACAACACACTAAAAATCCCAAAACCTAAATTTCTCACCAAGTGATACACCTACACTGCTCTCTATAATCTATTGCACACTTTTGTGGATTCCAGTCTATCTTGAAGTCTAGGAAACTTTCTTCATAAATGAGGATGAAAGTTAGTGCTGCCCTAGTGGTCAGGACACCCCAGAGCAGACACAGAAATATTCCTGGTGCTCTGGGTTTCCACAGTGACTTTCACATTTAGGAGGGAATTGTTCCCTGCAAAGATGGTGAGGCCCTGGCACAGCTTTCCCAGAGAGGCTCTGGCTGCCCCTGGATCCCTGGAAGTGTCCAAGGCAGGGCTTGGAGCAACCTGGAACAGGGGAAGGTGTCCCTGCACATGGCAGGGTGGAACAGGATGATGTTTAAGGTCCCTTCCAACCCAAATAACTCAGGGATTTCATTATAAATGCATTTTCACTAAGAGCAGCACAAGATAAAAGGAGGCCTAAACCAAGCCATGAGGAAACAATATGAAGTAGAGTCAAAATTAAAACAGTAATTTGGGACAGGAAAGATCTGGGAATGGCTGAATCCTGTATGAGAGCAGAGTGGTGAATTGTTCACCTTGGTTACCAAGACATGACCCCCATGGCTGTGCAACCCCGTGTTTCCTCTCCTGACCATGTAAATCTGCTGTCATCAAACACAATGTGCATTGTGCAACTCCAGAAAGCAGAATTTGGGACTTCCCTAATGCTACTGACGTGGAATCACGAGTGGCACAGACTGTCCAAGCTGCAGAAGAAATATTACAAACTTTGCAGTTATGGAGTTTGTTTGATGTTCCTGTTGTGAAGACACTCCACTGTGAACACAGATATAAAGAAAAAAAAATTTAAAAAAAGTCTGCCCAGCAGCTACTTCTTTTTTTTTTTTTTTTTTTTTTTTTTTTTTTTTCCTGGGGGGG